CCCATGGCTGCTCTGAGGGACGTGGGAGCCCCCCCCCCTCCCTGCCCAGCGCTCCCTGGGGCTCCAGCTCCCAAAACAACTCCTCTGTGCCACTGCTTCATCAGGCAGCCACAAGGACCTAACGCAGGGAACCCAGGGGGGGTCTCGTCCAAGCTCAGCAACTGTTTCTCCCCTCTTCTGAGTCCATTGGGAACACCCCGAGGCTAAGTGCACGTCATCTGCTCAGCAGCCTCTTCCACCTCCTGGAGGGCAGGGAGCTGTCCTCCACTGCTCCCCTTTTGGAGGCTCCCCGGAGGGCTAGGACAAGCCACAACAGCTTACAAGACAGAGAAGGATTAAACAAACCTCTAAACAAACCCATGGCATTAATCCACAGATAACTAACTGCCTGCGCATCTCTGCAAAGCGACCAGCCACGTGCCACTGGTTGGCTGCAGGGCGACGGGCACCGCAGGCTCCTGTCCCGCAACACCCCTGCCCAGCCCCGCTCACCTTGGCGATCTCCTCCTGCAGCTCATCCTCCGTCTGCTCCGACTCTGGATGGGGTAGAGAGCCATCACCAACTGCCCACGGCAGCAGGGACCCCTTCCCACTCCCCTCAGCCGGGCAGAGAAGAGGAGAAGCGAGGCCGGTGGGGAGCGAGGGAGGACGGGGACCTACCTGAGTAGTCCACAATGTGCGTGGGGACCTTCTCGGGCGTGACATCAGCTGGGATTGTGATCTCCTCCGCGCGAGGAGGCACCTGCAAAGCCAGCAGACTCCGGTTCAGCCAGCCACGCCAAACACAACTGAAAGGACTGGTGACAAGGGACTTCAGATCCCCACGTGGCCGCTGCCCAGTGCCCTCCCTGCCAGGGTGGGATGAGCTCCAGACCACTGGGCTGCAGCTGCGGCTTGGCTCGCTACAGTTCAGCCCTCGCACAGCCAGCATCACCGCAGTGAAACCTCTAACTGCCTCCTGGCCCTGAGCCGTCCCTCGGGCAGGCAGCTCCTGACAGCACCAAGTCCCGCCAGGGATGCCGGCATGCAGACAAGTCAGCGCTGCCACCCCCGCTACAGCTCCAGAGATAAGCTCTCGGCACTCCCCCAGCTCTCTGGCCTGACCTCTCGGCAGCTGGGAGAAGCGCTAAGCTGATTGTCCGGGCTTTGCTGCGAGAGCATTGGGAAGGTGCACGGAGCTGGTCCTCCCCCGAGCCCCCGGAGTTGATGCTTCCCAGCGCAAATGTCGCAGAGGGCACCATCTGCCCGCGGGCAGTGGGAGAAGCTGCCTGACGGCCAGACCGATCCCGATTCCCCATCCAAACGACGATGGGACGGTGAGCCGCTGAGCCAGAGGCTCCAAGGTGCACACACAGGCGGGCTGGATGCTGCTCCTCGCAGATGGCCCATCTGAAAGCACTGAGCCCTTCTCCAGCCAGGCAGAGGAGGGCAGGGAACACGGTTCAGCCCCTTCCAAGGTGGTGCCACCACAGCAAGGCCAGAGCTGAGCACCAAGTGTCCCGGCCACAGAGGGCAAGGCCGGGCCCCGTGGTCTGCTCTGCCGGAGGACACTGGACCCCCAGCAGCAGCAGCATGCTGACCGCAGCAGTGGGGAGCAGGGCCCTGGGAGGTAGCTACACCCCTCCCCAGAGCATACAGGGCCCCACGTCCGGGGTTAGAGCACCAACTGGAGAAAACACCATTTCAGCTGGAGCTGTGTGTGGTCCTCACAAGACTTTAGCTCACCCGAATCAGCTCAGCCAGAGGAACTGGGGGTTCCCTGCCTCACGCTCACCTCTTCAGGGAACTCCTCGCCCACCAGAGCCATGATCAGCGACGTCTTCCCCACCTGGGCTAGGAAAGAAAGGGAGAACGTTGGCACCGGCCCGGCAGAGCCTGAGCGGGACAC